TATTAAATTAAAATTAAAAACTTTAAAATGTGTCACCTCTTTGTATTTTTAATAGACATAGATCTAAATGTAGCATGGACGAATTTACAAAAAGTTACAATTCAAATGAAGCCGTGCCAAGCATTTGGACGACTAATGGGCAGATGACGATTGGAATTATACAAATTGGGCTATTTTTTGCATACGCATGATCAACATTCAGTCGATAGAATATTCATCAACAATCACTAGTTGTGTTGTAAGTGGACAACACTTTAGCGCAATCGACTGTAATTTTACTCCGTCTTCAAAAAAGAGAGACTATACATAATATGTACATGTGTCAAAGGCTGTTCCTAACACCACCAAAATCAGTCTATAATAGACACGTTTTTAACATCTGATAGCTAAGTCTTAATTTCGAAGTAAAGTACAAAAGCAATGTATAAAAGACATGTAGATAAAAAGAAGGCTACTGGGTTACTTACTTGACTAGGTAGATTATGCCTCTTCAATCTGGGATGCGTTCTCAAATAGACATAGAAATTGAACACGCTTGGCATGGGTTCATTAATGTCTTTTGTTGATCCGTCTCGGGCTACGTGTAATCTTCCAGCTGGATTTAGAAGGGTGTCTAGAGCTTCGCCGTAGCGTTTTAGTTCCCATAAAGCCATGGAACGTACGAATGGATCCGGATGCGCGTGGTCGAGGTCTATTTCGCCGTCTTCTGTTTCTCCACTGTAAATAATACAAAGCTATAGGATTGCAATACACTTGTTATTTTATTTCTTGATGTTATTAAGTCACAAAGAAAATGCTTAATTCGGTCATACGTTAACTGAGTATACCCAACAGTATATTTTTGGTAACTGAAGACATAATCTTTACAGGCAACTTGATCGCAAACTAAATTATACTTGTAAGATGTGCAGCAGAAATTAGTGTAATTACCCCAATATTTCATCCATGAGGAGTTTCTTCAAACTTTCCGGTAAAGTGCTGTCAGATTCATACAATCTCGCTACTATCATAGCTATTTGTAAATCTCCGAGACGTGTGATCAGCACCTTTGAAATAAAAAAAATCAAATTAGTTAAGCAACTGAATGGTATACTGTTCATAGATAATGAAAAATAAGGGGGAGATATGGTTTGCGGGCATGAGTCGTGTCGCCTCTAGTAGCCCAAAACGCACATACCCAACGGCAACGTGAGATATCTTCAAAATTCGCCAGAGTGTCGCAACGATTGTTATGCGTACAAGTTGCGCATGTGCGTATGAGTTTTAGCGTCATCTAATGTTTAATAGTACCAACTCGGGGCATTTTACTAGCACTACCTGACGGTAAATGACTGAACTAGGATGAAAAAAAAAACGAAATTTTGCAATACAAAAATTAATTTTACGTAAGTGACAGTACATTTAATTTTGTGAAAATAATAAATTACGTTACGTCGTTGCCACGTTTTAAACCTTAAGCTTACACGACCTTGATTGGTTAACCAATGTGTTTTTACACTAGTACATAATAAAGCTTTATAAAGATTGAGTTGCACACAAGTGTCAAAATGGCTACATCGGTACGCAACCTCGCATAGCGTCATGGTATTTCTGCCCTTAATTTTAATATCTATGATACTGCTCCGTTGTCGATCAGTTGGTTAATTGAGCTCTAGAGGCTAATTTATGGTAGTTCATGTGATCATGATGACACATGATCGCAGCGGCAATGTCACTCCGTCAATGTCTGAGATAGCGGCAATGTCTGAGAAACGCTTCCAATCTCACTAGCACACATTAAGTCAAATTATGGGAAAAAAGGACAGCTAGTGTTTTTTGTTCCTACAAAATTAACGTATGGACGGCAGCATAACAAGCTAAACATTGACGGATCCTGTTCTATTGCTCTGTAAGCGATATTCGAACAAACTGAAAATTGAACTGAAAGCTAGATCATGTAAAACGGCTCTACTTTAAAAGAGTGTAATAGTAAAGGCTATGAAAGTCTTCAACAAACTTCCACGTGAATCTTAGTGTGTTTTATTAGTATTAGGATGCGTTAAGTGGAATGCATGATTATGTTATACTACAATTTTTTCATGAAAATAACATAAAAACTAATAAAACTTTGTATGCCACAAGGCGAATCACAGTGATTCAAAATTTATTGTTGTAACAACTTTGTAATCTGTGCATGACAAAGAAATAAATGTTTTATAAGTACAAAATAGGTTGATGTACTGTTTACATTGTTGTTCTCATAGTTTTTTTTTACACTATTTTTTCACGCGTAAAATAGCCTAGCTGTCGATTTGCGTACATCAGCTCGTTGTACCTAAAAGTCATGGAATAGTTCGAATCGATAACTGTTGGGGCAATGTTGAATACTGTATTTGAAACCTGTCACTAAATTGTCAAAATAAAAACTTATATGGAAAACCTGTAATACAGTACTAATTTGAAAACGTCACTATTTGTCGATAATTTGCCTATAAATTATAATATAAAAATGTGCATTAAAATCATTGGCTTACAATTATATGGACGTCGGGTCCGCGCTAAAAAGTGTCCGAACTTATAGGGCGTTAAAATCGTATACAGAGCGTCATTCACGCTTTAGTCTTCGTTTGTTCGGCTGACAGCGTAGCAAGCAAAATTAGACAGTACTGCGATGACATTACAATTTAAATTCAACGTTTTAGCTTTTTCATATTCCTTTACATGTCACTACGTTTAAATAGGTTGACTTGGGGCATGTTTTTCGTGGTTTTTGTATTAGACCCGTCGTCCATTTATTTGTAAGTCAATGATTAAAATAGAAAAAAAAACGCATATTCCATTTAGCATCGTTGTCAACTACCGCACGTCGCGGTCGTTGGTTGTAAAAAGTTCTCTCTTGCGTCTACCAAAGATAGATAAAGGTTATATATATATATATATATATATATATATATATAATATATAAATAATCATTTGCGTCTTATTCTTCTTCTTGTCGAGTCAATGCCAAAAACTAGTAGAAAGCCTGTGTTATATTTCTTTGGCCCAGTAAGCAGCCACCACTATGCCAGCCACCTTTCTGTTGCCTTATACAGCTATCCCCATTTCACCATGTTGTCTCTACAACAGCCCAATTGTGTGATCTGAGACGATTCAGGGATTTCCATATTTACCACTGCAACTCGTGTCCAGGGGAAGACTGGCATCTTATTGATTCTACGTCATTATACAAGCCACCAAAAGTACGATCAAAACAATTACCTCCAAAGCATCCTTCAAGGCTCCACCGAGCAGGAAGAAGGCCGCTGCGTGTTCAAAGCGCTGTTTGCCGAGTAACACGAACGCGTTTTTCAGCGCCGCTTTACGCCAACGTTCTTCTTTGAAGTTGTTCGCAAAGAACTGCAAGCCAAGGAAAATCCTTTAGTTGTTTCAGGTGTGATTTTGTAAGTACGAGTTCATGTGTAAAATGGCAATTTAATTCTCGAAAAAAAAATTCTTCAGAAGTAGCGAGTGATGGCTTACAAAAAACAAGGTATCTGTTTTCTAATAATTCGTTGCTTTTCAACAATAGTGGCCTAAATCAAAATAACGAATTTTTTTGTCTTACTTCACAGAGCTACACTCAAGAGTGAGCTAAATTTTATTGTAAAAATATAACGAGCTTTTTATTGTTTAAAATAATCACGTGACAATATGGGCCTGCATAAGATTCATCGGCTTTAGATACTCTGCAGTTGGTTTTAAACCATCTTCCTGAAGAATTAGGTGATTTTGAGATAGGCTGATATTCTAGAAAGTCATCGATTTATGTAAAGAAAAGACCATAACATACCGAAGTCATCTTTTCATCTCTGTTCGAACGGAACAATCCCCAAAGCAAGTTCTTCTTCCTCATAGCGAGGTAATAGAGCGCAGCATCCATCGGATCCTGCTTTTGCATGTACGACGCTCGTGCGAGTTTCTCCATGCACGTTCGAAGGAGATCGCCGCGTATCCACCAACCCACACCTGTAGAAATATTTGGTAGAATTCAATCTTTTTTATATAATACTGAGTGACGGGACGAACAAGTCGTGTGTCTGGTGGGATGTGAAACTCCTGTAACTAACAGTTGCAGTGACATTCAGAACTTAAAATCACAAAGGTCTGTGGGGCACTGTCACCTGCTGCCACATGTTGCTTTATTAATTGCAATATTTATTTTATTGGATATCATGTTTTTTTAATCAATAATAACAACAAACTCGTGGAGTATTATCACAAAAACTATAATGAACTTCAGGGCAGTAAAAAAATCATGATATACATTGGTCATATAATTTTTTTTGTATTGTATTGTTATAAATTTACTTGAAATAAAATTATATCATATGAACATTTCATTTGAGTTGAAGCGTACTCAAAACTATTAATTATATTACTGAATTTGTCGTAAATAATTTTAATGAAAATTTTTCTTACCCAACTCCCTCATAGTAGTCCACTTCGGTTGTCCCTTGGTATATCCAGGAACCAAAGCTAGCAATTGTTCGTGGGTTTCAGAATGGTACGCCCAAACAAGGTTGCAAGTGCCCACGCCGGTGCGTTGCAGTGAAGCACGTTGGGCAAGAGGTAAGCAGCGGAGTAGGTAGCCGTAATGCTTCATTGCTAGAAGGAAACGCAAGCCGCAGTCGTCTAGGGAATCTATAACAAAAAATAAGCGCTTAATTAACTTTCAGAGCGCGTTGGTAACTGTGAAAACTGTGCAATATGGACTATTACACAAATTGGCATTAGCTAGCAATTTATAACTTTCTTGCTCATATCGTCACTGGGTTAGCCATGTCTGCAGTGTGATGTCTTTCTAGTATTAGCAGAGAACAAAAAAATAATGAGAATGGACACTCTCCGCCCCTCTCTGGCTTTAGATACCGCACCACACCCCGCACATTGACGGTCACATTGACTGAACGGCAAGAAAGCTGACGGTTTTGATATTTGAATTTGGTTTTCATTTATTCATTACGAAATATATAACATCATTGTACGTTACTATTTATAATGGTCGTGAATTGTGCTGTACGATTGTTTATTACCATCTAAACGGGATAAAAAGAGAATTTCTTTCGTTTTCCGAAAGATGAAACGAGGTAAGTAAAAAACTTATGTCTGAGACTCATTCAGTTATTGTTTTCATCATTTATTTAGTGCAGAGTAATATATATGTAATACAGATTTGTTATATCAATATAATGAGATGGCATAAGTTCGTGAACTAGTAGACACGGGTTCTCGAATTTTCAATCTGTATCGCCGATAAATATGTAGTGAATATAATAAATAACTAAGTAATGACAAAGTTGGACACGCAATTTCAAATATCTGGCTTACCTTATTTAAAAGTACCTGTCCAAAATATAAATTTTAGGTGCTTGTAATTTATTATTTAAAATAAACCAGTATTTACAGACTTTTTTTTATCTCTTACCACTATTGTTTGTTATTAAATTCTGTGTAGCTTATTTATTTATGTGTAGAGATAAATAAACGATTCTATTACTATTATTTAATCTGGCCCGGAGACTAAGTGACTCATAAAAGCAACTGTCACTAGTGCATCCTAGTTAGTCAACCCAAATGGCAACCATACCTGTAGCTGTGGTCTTATGTCAATATAGTACTATATATACGTATTTTTTTGTTGTACCACTGTTATCTTAGTTTTGGGTCTCGTGGATTTATAGCAGGTACATCTGTGTGCATGCGATTAAAACTTACCAGGCAATATTTCCTGTCCACTAGACGGATTAATATCAATGCGTGCGTTGGATGCGAGTCTCTCGGCAAAATCGGCGTCGCATGTTGAAACGGTGTCTGCTAACGCGAGTAGATGCATTTGGTCTAACGAACTAAGGCCAGGTAGATGTGTGTGCGTTAGAAGACGGGAAAGAATGCGTCCTGAAAATTAAAATAAAAATAAATTCAAACTCGAGGTAACCTGGAAGAGAATACTTTTAATTTGTGCCTTATATGTTGTTCTTTCATGATTAACAGTTTGGTCAAATTACAGGCACATGGGAGTAGTCAACTTATGTCTCAGGGTGTCGAGCGCAGTGGCACTCAGTATTTTGTGATTTGAAGCTCTGAGTGGCACTGCAACTGTTAGGGACAGGCGTGTCGCTTACCACCAGGCACACGACTTGTTCGTCCCGTCACTTAGTATTACAAAATGTATGTTATTTTACACGATACTAAATAAATAAATCGAATTAAAGTTTGGCTTCCTTTCTAAGAATGGTGATGTGATCTCTGCTAAAACCTTTAAACAATTCGTCCTTGGCATTACATATTATGAGATGAATGGTGATTTTTTCTTCTTATTTAAGAACTAGGCTCTTGTCGATGGAGTAATTGACGATCATCTTTGTTCAGCGCCCTAATTTTGATTTCCTGATACGACACGACTTTATCTTTTCCCTTTATCTGCTCTAAATAATTACGTCTCGGGTCTCCCCTGCCTCTCCTTCCTTCGATCTTTCCTTCTATAATGCTTCTAAAAATACTGTCGTAACGGAGCATGCCCAAACATCTTTTCTCTTGTCTTTAATAAGCTATAAGATTATTTCGATACCTCCAATGAACACCACGCTAACTTTAATTTTTAGTCGTTTTCAGTTATTTTTGACACAGCCATATTTATTTACTAATATTATGATCCCCGAATTTTGTGAAAACAAAAATACAGAAACAAAACAAAATTCGAAATAAATAAAAAATAAAAGAACGAATTTTGTGAAAATAAAAATATAGAAACAAAAAACAAAATAAAACAGAACAGGTCCAAAAATTAAGTTGACGTAGTGTTCATTGGAGGTACCGATTTATTCACTATGAATTCTTTAAATGTTTTTCACTCAGGCGAATTTTTTTACCTTGTCGTGGTCCAAAGTGTGACAACGGTTGTCGTTCCGGCATTGAAGGTCGTCGGTCCACCGGAACATCTTCCTCTGCCAGCAACAACTTGTCCAGATCTTCATCGGTGTCCATTGTACCTTCGAATAGTTCCGCGTAATCCTGAAAACAGGTTCATTGTTTAGACAAAACATTGAACAGATAAATAATACACCATATATAGTCATACATAGTCAAAAACTCTTTGTTAGGGTTAAAAATGTAATTGTATGCAACCTTACCTCGGCTTCCTGAATAGTAGAGGGATGATGGGGCGACTCCTTATCCGCAACCAATAAGGTCCACAGTGGCAACGGTGGTACCGATGTAATTTCAGCATAATCCAATTGGACGTCTTCCGTTATCTACATGAAACCGATTTATCTTGTTAATTTTAAAATTTTAATTGTGTTGATTATAATTAAAATGCACTGTGATGCCATTGTGTTATCAATTATCATACTTACTGACTGCACGATATATATGTACATGTTAACAGTAACAAACATTTAACAGTCCAATTTTGTCTTATATTTATATTAGTTGCAGTTGCCATCGAAACTATGCAGATTAACATTCTCATGTGCTATGTGCATGTTAACGCTTTTGATGATAATGCAGACATACACAGTAAGTTAAGTAAAGAGTTTTGCTCAACACATATAATGATTGGATTTGAAATTCGATCTCTTTAAAATAATACAGTAGGTATTCTGTTACGAATAACGATAATCGTCATAATTTTAAACAAGTACATAATAATTTCAACATCGATCCCACTAATAATAAAATAACATAAAATTACTTATAATACTGATTACACAACCGTTCAACGTACAATAAAATATATTTATATAATTTACTAACAGGAAAAGAGTAAATAATAAATTTGAAAATAAAATAACGTTTCCCAAACCTACTTCATCTTGTAAATATCCACTTTTTAAAGTTAGGTATTTAAGTTTGGGTAACGTCATCTGCAAAGCACGGTGTGGTACCTGTGCGACGCCATCTAGCGGCGAGCCGGCGCCGGCGGCGAAGGACACGGAGAGCGTGCGCGACCGCGACCAGCCGCGCTGCAACACACGCCAGTTGCCATGCAAGCACGCACTAGCCTCGGCTGTGCCGTGCTCATGCCATCACAGTGATAATAACTCAAGATTCAGCTCAAGTGCAAGTTTTTCTCTCCGGAATTATTAATTACTCAATGGAAAAGGGCTATTGGCTCCGTAGTCAAAGTTTTACATCTCCGATCGTCCCTATTTACCAATGCTTGTAAGAAAATTGTCGTGACGTATCAGATGCCCAAATGTCTTTGCCCTTCGGTTCTCTATTGTCCATATTTGAGGCGAATGGTTAATTTGTATATTTACTACCTGGTGCCTGCGACTTCGTCTGTGTATAATAAGTAACTTCGAGTAGCCTGCTATACTAGATACTTGAAACATTTTTCAAGAACCAATCATTATTGGTTCTCAAAAAAAACCTTCATTCCCTATTTCACCTCCTTTAAATTTTATTTTTGTCACAAAACGTATGTCCTTCTCCTAGGTCCCATCTATCTTTATACCAAAATTCATCACCATTGGTTAAGTGGTTCAGGCGTTTAAACGTAACAGACAGAGTTACTTTCGCATTTATAATATTACATTGCGAGTAATATTACAGAAATTTTACTGCCTACACGTGTGTGGAATCCTACAATCACAAAATTTTTATCTTCGTAATATTTATCAAAGTTTAACTTCATTTGAGAAGCCGGAAGAACTTAACTTCCTTTGTTGTACATAATATGATTATATATTAACGTTTTACTGTTTATTATCATTTTACGATTCTGCAATCTACTATGAATTATCCAGATCTTGCGTTCAATGTGTACCTTGAATATGTTATTAAAGCACTGTACGCAAAGCAAGAGTTGTTTAATAATGAATCAAATAAAAAACGCCTCCATAAAGTGTCTGTGGAGGTTGTGTTTCAAAATGTTCGTAAGTGTGGAGTAGACAAATTGAAGAAGTCAACTTTGTGACAAAAAGAAAAGTATTGTTTATATGTAATGTACATTATTTACATTCTCATTCGCATGCCAATAGGAATCAAAGACATACAGAATGTATAACATTTATGATGGGTGTACAAGACGACACAAGGCAATATTCAATTTGGTTATACTACATTTGTCAAAAAGAATCAGCAACAAATTATATTAAATGACGTAATGTGTGTTCTGAATTCAAATTGTGCCCATATAATACTAGTTTTTAGTACTTGCACGCTACAGAAGCACACTGTCTGACAAATTTAGCATGACCTTGCTTGCCAAGTAAGCTGTGTACGTGTGATATGTGCTTTGTATTAGCACAGGGTGTTTATTAATTTGCTGACATTAATATTACCAAGTATTGTCTCGAACAATCGGTGAAGTGGTTTATGATAATAAATGAGTGAGGTGCGAATGCGATCATACCTGTCGTGATAAACTGTCTTCATCGCCGGTTGAACTTCGCCCTGTATATGTTCCGCCGATACATCTAGTGTGAGCAAATACGAATTGTTTCAGTTTCTTTAAGATTTGATTCAAATTTAGAAATCTCGGAAATGTAATGATTTAAAATTAATAAATACATTTACAAAAAAACCGACCTCAAAAGTTTGCTTATCAGTTATCGCTGTGTTTCTTCTTTTAAATGTTATGGTCCCATCGTATATCGTCGTATATTCATCGTATCGCTGTGTTTAATTTTCATTGGAATTACGCATATGTGACAAGTTTTATTGAAATCGGTTAACGGAAAATTGCCACCCTTAGAGGTGGAATATTTTCTTCAAATTTGAATGGGACCACTAATGAGGTACCCCCTTTCAGCAAAAAAAAAAACATCGAAATCGGTACACAAATGTCGGAGTAATCACGTAACATCCCAGAAAATAGACGAACTCAGAATCTCCTCCTTTTTTGAAAAAATAAACATATTCATGATCAATTAAACAAAACATTATACGACTATTTAAATATTAAGATCAAAGTACGTTCCCACTGCTTTAGTAACCATCTTAGCTTAACGATATACATAACATTTGGTAACATTACCGAATGTTACCTGTCGTTAAGGACGATGCATTTGTACTTACAGATTAAACAGAAAGGAAACAAGTAATACCCGATTTATAGAAAGCGAGTCTAATAGCGTAAGCCTTAGAATACCGGTGGAAAGAGGAAATACTCCTCATTGCCTAAAAAGGAAACTGCGAGACCTAAAATTCCTAGTGACATTTTGATATTGCATTCGCAAAAATATCACTTACCGAACAAGATGAGCAAGTATAGCTTTCACCCATCGTATCTTCCCACTGTTGAGCAATTCCATGAGCTGTTTAGGATGGTATTGTGGCAGAACAGGACAAGCCATTTGCGAAGCTTCGAAGAGTCCGTAATCTGGCATGTAATCTAAAAGAGGCTGCAAAACAACTTGTTTGTTAAGTTGATGTGTCACTCTTTACGGTTATCTGAATACTTTTACACCTAAAGTCCACTTTTTCCCGTAAATTGTTGTCGAAAGTAGAAAGGCTTCTTAAAATGTATTTTTTCTTCTTTGAAATCACGGCATGCCAGAATGGTGTGACATGTTATGATTTTTATATTTTAAGCACGTAAGATAAGCTCAATATAAATCTTAAAGGACTAATGCTGACTAGTAGCCTGACAACTGCAGCATCAAAAAACTCAAATGACGGCACTATGGTATCGGTAAAAAATTATTAAAACTACAAAATTGTTTCCTGATGTGCGAAGTGTTCACATTTTTCAGTTTCCATATATGGTAAAAGTAAATATTGCATTAAAACTAAAAATAACATTATAAAAGTTTATTTTCCTTCAATTTTGTACTTAATAATTTTGTCAATCAGGGTCGCGGGATTTTTTCGATACAAAAGCGCATTCTAAGTTAGCAAGTAACCGAACTGTAGGTAAATAAGCACCCGATTATCCGACCACTACTTATAATAGCAGAGAATTGCAAAAACGTAAATGAACGGCTCTGTAATTTTATTTAAGTATAATCACATATATTTTCATGTGTAATCATACAAACCTGTGGTTGATCGGGCTGGGCCTTATTTCTCCGTCTAGCATCTCTCTCCAGAAGTTGCAGGTTGATTGACGACACGCGTTGTAAGTGTGGCGCGGACACACGTAAGTCTGAGTCTCGGAGCGCACGAGATTCGCTGCCTTCTTCTATCTCCTAAACCATTTGAAACAATGAGAAGTTACTTTTTTAACGCACACACTCAACGCACACACTCAACATAGCCCCGCACTAGGGAAACCCTGTGTCGCGGGTGCCATGGACACACACATAGACAAGCACAAATTACACCCAAACTCACGAGAGAAATAAATGTAGGCCATACAAACATTTCTCCCGGCCCGGGAATCGAACCTGGGACCTCTGCGTGGCAGTCCGGCATGGTAACCGTTCGGCCACGGAGGCAGTTTTACCAGTGAAAGTAATTATTTTTAGCTAGTACACGTTACTAATACTGATATTATAAATTATACTGTTCCTTCCCAAAATAGTCACAATTTTCTGTCCAACCTAGATGCTCCAAACTAAAACAGCAATGACGGCAATGCTTTGGGGAATAAAAATTGACTTCCGCAAAGGACCGCCTGAATCTATTAATTGCATTGAAGGATATTGGAGACAGGGTGACAAAGAATCTCCGACTTATAATAAACTACATAGTATATATAATATTCGTACCTGGCCACCAATAATTCCCGAAGAAGTTTGTTGATTTTCAGGCTTCCATTGAGAGTATACATGCATTTCAGAGTCCATTCCAACCACTAGTATCCCGTCTCGCACCCACGAAATCTGCATAGGTAATGGCGGCAGACCATCTGCTGTTTTCAAATCAATACGACGGAGTTGCATCCATCGGATCTCCTCGACGAACAAAGGTGCAGCTAGAGAGGATGCTTTGCGGAGAATCGGGCGGTTGTTATTTATTGATTCTTTCATTGCCTGAAATAAGATCTCGAGATGAAATGTCATTTGTAATAAATTGAACATGATAATGGCACTTAATTCATTTCATTCATTAGAAAACTATTTATGATTTAACTAGTTTTAAATAACTTTATATTATTAGTTTTATTTATTATTAGCCAATTGAATTGGAGCTCTGACCCTAATTATGCATTGTTAATTCGCAGAACACTGATCATATAGCAATTGTCATTTTCACGAAAATGTTTATTTAAAAAAAATATAATACTGAAGTTACATTTTCATTGATAAAAATTTATGTATTTGATTCGCAGAAAATTTACTGCTAATTAATAATTTTCAGAAAAAATCTGAAAAATTGGAAAAATATAATTCGAATTATTTAGAATGAACTATAAAATAAAATTGTATAAACATCATTTTCACAAGTTCTCATAACAGAGTGAAATGTGGAGAAATATAGGAAACATATTCAGATTTCTTTTTAATTACATTTTTTCAAAATGGATTTTTTGGAAATTCAAGATTGAAATTTTTTCTACGACCCAACACTACTGGGTACAGTTAATGAACGTTTTCATAAATCTCAATGTGTCTAATTCCACCTGACTCACCTTCAAGTTAGCCTGCGCAAGATCACTAGAAACAGGCGTAAACAACAAAACTCTGGACCCCACGGCGACCGTTAATATGTGTGATCCATCTTCCTTAGATACCCAGTCCAATTGCACTAAATGTTTTTGCGTCAAAGGGCATGTATTTCCATTCTCCATGATGCTTTTGCGTAAAGACTGGAGAGTACTGAACGAAGGTACAGCAAGGAGACCGGCCGATTTGCCTGTGTCGCCCTCGCCGTTGCGGTTGCCGCGACTATCTTCCGATGAGAATGTTTGTAGAACCTGTGAGGGTGGAACAATTGATTAGATTTTGTATACTTTTATAATAGTTAACCGAGATAGTAAAAGTAAGTAAATAAATAATGAAATGATAATCTATATACAATATTATAATTAATAACAAATCGTCCCTTATCACACTAACGGACATAATTCACAATTTTTACGAAAACAAATGACGTTATTATTGATACAAAAATCGAATAAACACAAAGCGAAACTCCTTTGAACAGGCTGGATTCGAACTAGCGCCTGTTAGCTAGACCGAGATTAACAGACGTTGGTCAGCTCCGGCCGGGTCTAGTATTTTCACAAAGAATATATGAATATCATGGTAGTAAAACCATTATGGTATTCAATGAAAAGTGAGATCCAATAATGATAAATGAGTGAAGTAACTTTCATAAGTTTATCATACGTGGCGCTGACGGCAAAAAAGTCATTTAATCCCAATATAAAGAGCCGCAACAAGCGCGTAGAGAAATTCGTAAGATTTGCTGACTCAATCTGTAGCTTTGGTAAGAGAGGTGGCCCTGGTGCGGCAACCGACGCTGGTTTGAGTCCAGTCAGATGGATGGATTTTTTTCTTTATATTGTTCGATCTTGATATGAACAATAATAACAAGTGTTTATATCAGAGAATAGAACATGAAATACTGAAGCGAACTATGTAAATCACTTTTTCTGCCAAAATTGTAAGTTACATCCGTCTATTCGTGATAAAGAGGACGAAAAAGTTCATTATATTTCCAACTCCGACTCTGATTTCTAACGTTTACACACTGCATAATAATAAAAACTGCATCCCGTGAAACTTAATCCGTATAAATTTATTCACCTGAGTAAGTCTCTGTTTCTTCTGCATAAACGACGTATCATGCAAATACGAAAGATCAATTTGCGTATCGGCGCTAACGCCGACTCTAGGCAGACTCACATTCCTCAGCGGTATCGTATCTTCGAGCAACCATTCCGCACCGCCAGTGCTTTCACACTCGTATACGCAAACGCATAGATTGACGAAACGAGCGTCAGTTGGGTTGGTTGTAGCATTTGCGCCTTTCGGACGTGTGAACGATCGTCCACATTTGTATGCACATGCTATTCTGCCGGAATACGCAGCACTTATGTGTAGGGGTTGACCTAGAAAGATTTTGTTGAATTTAACATTTTATGTGACTTTTGAAGCAACTTTATTTCGCTTTTCTTTCGACCATGAGAGTTAGTTAGAGTAGCAGTTCAAGGTCCATAGTTGTACAGGGTCAACAATGTTAGAATATGGACAAATATACTCTAAATATACCCTAAATTCGACTTACAACAAATGTCAAAAAAACAAAAATATGATTTTTAGGGTTTTCACCTCAGACTGAATCACAGTTACCACAATTTCAATACTTTTCTCTGAAATTCAACTAGGCTATTGATAGCTAATCTTAAGGTCAATACAAGTTTGAAATCACTAGTAAATGATTTGAAACTAACATAAAAATTACTAGTAATCCCTAATTATTAAATGTATGTATGTAGTAAATAAGAAATCCTACAAGTTAGAGTCAGTTCATAGATTTCATGATAGACCATTACCTATTTAGCAGTAAGTATTAATTGGAATAAAAAAAACTTAATCATTTTATTCATAAACCATACGAATCAATAGTTACTTTGCAAACTTTATAACAAGTGGCCAGGTAAGTATTACTTCCATATAACCCAATTACCTACTTACCTATTTAAATTCTAATTATGCAAGCAAGCGTGGGCAGAGCTAGCGTAATTAATGAGTATTGACTAAAAAATGTTCTTTTCCCTATCGTTGGTTGCCTAGTAACGTTTTGTTATTAAACATGTCCTCGACGTTAAGCATTCTATGTTGAATTTGGCTAGATTATAGCATATCTTGTCTCTAAAGGAGTATGAAATTATAACAAGAGACATCTTACCTGGAATGTCTATAGCAGACTCTTGATCTCTGTTCATCATTTCCCATTCCTTCCACGTATATTCTAAATCACCCATATCGTTTTTATGCACATCACACTTCCAGAACCTGAAAAGGTGCAGCGATCATTAAAGTTTACTAAAGAATATCAACGCGTTTGCTTTGGGCCCTATTTAAATCAGACGGTTTGAAGTTAAAGCTTGTTTATAGTAGGATCTACATTTTGAATCGATTGTAATATCACCTTGCCCTAATAAAAAAAAACTTACAACTGAAATTTTATTTTCGTTTAACATGGTCTTTGCCCCCACACAAATGAACAAATATACCTCTTGTCCACTTTGAATAAATTTAGTTTTAAATGATTTAATAAAGGTATATGCGTACGTGTGAGCGTTCGGTCGAAAAACTTTAGTTACCTGTAGGGTATGCTGCTTTCAAACACATTTGAAAACATTTCATAAATTCGCAAGAATTCGGTAAAATTTTTGAGATACAACGCCATTTCTATATTCATCGGGACACTTTACACAGTGAACGTGTTAAGTGTATTCACATACCTCAATGTACTATCAGAACATGCAGTAGCCAATATGTAAGGCGCCAGGCAAGCTGGGTAAATGGAAGCGGAGCTGAGGTGACCGGCTGCCGGCGCCGCATGTATCACGTCCACTCCGTCGGGTAAGGCCAGCGGACATTCGCATATCTGAAGCAATATATCAATATATATATTAATGCAATATATCATTGACAAAAATTCTCTTGGAAGTATCCCCTCGCCAATCTGTGTATTACGTAAAGGTAAAGAACTTGACTTGTGATTTGTGTGTGTATGTGTGCGTCAAAGTAATATTTAAATATGTTTACTAAATATGTTTGAATGTCCCTTTTGAATTTTTTAATAATTTCTAAATTATTTGCCTCCGGTAAACAGTAAGAGTTTTATTCTATTTCATTTTCTATCACAACTTTATTTCTGTTTACCGACTGTGTTATTGCCGAGAGGGGAAGCCAGGAGTGCCATAGCACTGGGCTTACCTGGTTTGGGCTATCTCCCATATCTAAGCTCTATGTTCAATCATGTACTTATATTTTGTAGTTGTTGGGAGATAATAAATGATATTGAAATGAAAATTATTATTATTATAATTAAGCCACTCGCTATGGTATAGTCTGTCAGAAGTTAGCTCATCCAATAACGGAGACTATACACACTAACAATAGAGATAAATGTACCTTCTTGGTGGATATCGAGATATGAGCGTGCGCAGGCGCGGGTTGGGGCGCGCGGTCATTGTCCATTGAGACGGAGTTCTTGCGCGACTCAGTACCTTCGTCCTCCTGCACTAGTGCGCTGTCCGGCACGTACATCATACTGTTTGTAAGGTCATCTGTAAAGTATGTAAGCGCTAAGAGGGTAATAAAGGAAGGAATGACCTTGGAATCGATCCATCTAGGGAGTGTTACGAGTAACCTGTACAAAATCACTATAGAGGAAAACCAACGCTTTAAGTCGCAAAGATCCAAAGGTCACTGCCACTGCTCCCGTCCCCTGAGACAAGTTGACAAGTCTCCTGTGCCTGTAATTTCACCAGCACCATTCCCCTTTAAAGCGGGAACGCAGTAATGCCTGTGATACTTAAATAAGTGGAAATAGAAACTAAATCTATACCATTTGGGTCAGCTTGCGAAGACACAGTAAGCCGCCACATGTGCACCGTGCTTCCAGCGTCAGTTCTTTCCAAAACCACAATGTAGAAAGGTTCGTTGAACACTGCTGCTTTGCGCAGATCTACTATCGCTTCAAGCCCAGCTTCTGTTATTGTGTTGAGTTGATCAGACCCTTCTACACCTGAATCCGCGCTGTCTGTGTCGGGAGAGGCACGTTCCCCTATAAAAAGAACTTGGTTAATAAGAAAAAAACATCCAGGGCATGAAAAAGTAAGAGGTAAAGGAAGTGGACGACATAATATCTTTATTATACAGGTGCCAGACAATGTTGTCAAAATTTATTATTAAATGTCCAAACGCGTATGACGCCTATTATATTGATGCGAGCAATTCTTGATACAAAATGTACGAACGGAGCGCATTCTGACATCCAACAAGATATATCTCATAATGATAAATATCTAATTGAGGCGCAATAGTGGTGTAACCCACATAATTTTTTTTTCTATAATATGACTTTAAATCATAATTTCCCAAAGTGGTCCCTACCGCCCATGGGCGCTGAAAAGTCCTAGTGGGGTGGTAGAGGCCTCGGGAGCGATTGGGAGGTGTTGATGCTGTCCAGGGGGTGCGACTGCATTTGAAAAAAAACCTGAATTGTACAAACTACACTACAAATATATTTTTTTCCTTGTGATTTTTTGTGTTAATTTAATATAAAAAATACGTGTTGTTGTCGAATTTTTTTTATCTTGCGTAAGCGGGGTCAAAAAGTTTGGGAACCTATGCTTAAATGATACTTAAGCGCATAATTATATTTGGATGCTATTTCTTATGTTTAGAAATATTTAATTACCAATTTTTTAATACACGAAAATAGCATCGAAATATAAAATAATTATGTGCTATAGAAAAAAAATTGAACGTCGGTTACACCACTATTGGTTACACGATGATAGTCTCTATTATCTGCGACCCGATTTCGTGTTTCAACGAATTGCAGTAAGGGTTACGTCTTCAATATATTACCAGTAATAAGTTGTTGCTGGAACACATGTAACAACTGCGTGTTATGCCAATCGTGAGTCGCGTCCGCTATAGCGTGTAACTGTATGATTGCGCCTGGTCGCGCTGTTGACTGTTGCGACACTATCTTTATGCGGTCGTGGAGGGGAACGCCGCCGCCTTCTTCCAGTGTTGAGTCCGATGACATTGACATTGTATCGTGCTAAAGAGCGGGAGAGAGAATAGTAATATTAGTATAAGTGACTGTAGTATCTTTATTTCCTTCATATTCATTGCAAAAAGTGTGGAACAAAGGTAGAAAATTGTAAATAGTTGAAAATAAGTAAAAAGTGTGTGCTATCGTTTTCTTTTTTTTATGTGCCAGACAACCACGTCAATTGCCTGATCTCAATCTAGGGAATTCCTTGTACTAAGAATGAGTACCAGAGCAACGGAATTCATTGGGGTGGCACTTTACAGAACACCCAGACCAGAACCAATTTAGAAAAGTTCATTTCCCAATTTGGTCCTACCGGAAATCGAACCTGGGACAAGAGGTCTAGTGCCCACAGTATAAACCGTTAGACCACCTAGATTGTCTCATTCCCAACCATGTGTTTAGAAATATTTCATTCTTTAAAATATTTTGAAAATACAACAATTTATGAATTAAGAACAAAGACATCAAATAAAATGCTAAAACAACTACCTACGACACTCACCATGACATCTTTATGGCGTCGTTCCGAAGTAGCAATTTCAGCGAGCAAAGTTCTCGCGTCTATCACCGCCTGAAACACTCGTAAGCTTTCGCCGTCACTGGCCACAAAACAAGCCGATGGCGAATTTGAGAGGTTTCCGAGTGTAGTGCTGTAAATGACGAAGTACCGTCAGATTAATTTGTAAGACGCTTTAAAACTGAGCAAGGGCGCTTTCAAATTAGACGCTTGTAGAAGCAGTGGCGCGGCAGCTGCGTCAGTAGCGCTTCAGTGATTTTTGGTTCACTAATTGTGTCTGCAAAAGTGGCGCTGCAACTGAGCTTCTAAATATTGTATGAAAATTAGTAGGGGGCAGCTGCAGCGCCATAATGGTGCAAGTGCAGCGTTTCTATAAGCGTCTAATTTGAAGGCGATCAGAGACATATTCTACTTAATTTTTAAGGCAACATTCTGCACTAAGCGTAATACTATTTATATACAGAGTGTCCACGTCTACGCAACAAGAAGGGAAAGTATTTTAAATATTGTAAATAGTATATTTTGCTTCATGAAGGCATTATTTTATTTTTAATAGTAAGTAAAACTGCATTCAAAGATTTTTCAAAAGTTGCTTCAATAAGAATTTTTTTTTAAGTAACAGTATTATAAATTAAAGGAACACTGTTCAATTACATATACAATTTATTTAAAAAAGAACCAAACTTGAAATGACTTTTTTTTACATTTGGTCGGTTTAATTACCAGATGAGGTAAGCAACTTTTTAAAAACCCTTTGAATGCAGTATTACTTACCTTAAAAATTAAAATGATGTCTCCATGAAGCAAAATATCCTATTTATAATATTTTAAGTTTCTTTCCCTGCGTGTCGCACAGTCGTCGGACAACCTGTATATGAATGATTGATAGAACTACTCATCGAGCTACAGCTCAAGTCTGTCTTTTTTGAAGACGGAGTATCATGACATTTGCAAGGTTACCATTGTTCATAAAATTTTAAATAGTCATGTAGTTGTTGTCGACAGTTTTATCGATAGATTGTGAGAGAAGGTAAAATTTTGCCAAAAATGTCTGAATTGTGAATGTTACGTTTCTTATTTTGACAATTGGTAATTCTTGTTCATATATTATAACAAGAACAGGCGGACTTGGTTATATTAAAATATAAAACTTTAAATATGTCTCCTTTGTATTTTAGACAGTTCTAAATGCAGTGTAAGAATGTAAGAACTTACAAAGATTGACAATTATTCAAATTAACCTGTACCACTTTGATTGGATGAATAACGGGCCGATAATGATTCGAATGACACAAATTCGGCTATTTATTGCATAAGCATAACCAACATTCTGTCCATAGTCGACAGAATGCTTATCGATTGCAATCACTAGCTGCTTGTAAGCGGGCAACACTTTTGCGCAATGAACCGTCATTTTACTCCATCTTCAAAAAAGACAGACTATAGATGCAACGTGTTAGTCGCGAGAGGGAAGATAAGCGATACAAAATAATATTGATTAGTCTCTCCTACCTTGGTAATAAAGTAGGTAACCACGCTACATTGCTGAACGCCGACAGATGCGGCGAATTAACTCGAGCGAGCTCGGATACTCCGCCCGACTTGCCCAGTGGTCCTACGCACTCCACTCGCCACATGATCAGTTCTGAGCATAGACCGCCCAATGGTGTTTCCTCGTCTTTTTGGAGCGTGTTTCTTTCATTATCTGAAGAAAGAAAATGTATCAAATCTAATGAACGTTTTAATTTCATGATAATAGAATCCATACATCTTTTCTTAATATAATTCTTTATGCATTAGTAAATAAAACTCACCTGAGATATTATGATGGCTAGTAGTAAGCAATAACGGTAATACTGGATGGCATGTGATGTCATTAACCCTAAACCTATGGCCGGACGCTCTCGAAGCGTGGCCAATAGACAGCACCTAAAAAAATATTTGAAACAAGTTTTTTAGGATTACGTATCACTGAAAAGTCAATCATTAACTTCTTTCTGGTTCTCTCTCAAACTTTTACAAACTTTAATATTTATTTTATTGAATATCATGTTACTACGATGATATTAATATGTTTTTGTGGAATACTCCATTAGTTTGTTATTGATACAAAGATCAAGCAACACAAAGAAAAAAATCCTTCGACCTGACTGGATTCGAATCAGCGGCTGTCGCCAAACCAGGGCCACGACTCTTACCAACTAAGCTACAGACCGAGGCAGCAGATCTAAAGAATTTCTATATGTGCTTGAAGGATCACTACCAATCAGAGGGTACTTTAAGCATGGATCCACAAAGGATTAGATAGTTACTTAGAAAGTCCTTAAACGAATCTATTGAATTTTATTATTAGTAAAATAATTTGTGTTGCCAAAAAAATATTTACAAATATATAGAAGCTTAAAAATGAAAACTTCATTCACCTGAGAAAACTTTGACTTGTCATCAAAGGTAAGCTGCCAAAGATTGAGTGTTCCATTAGTGTGGTTGGTGACCATTGAAATGACAGGCGCAGAGTCCAACACGTCCCCTTCTTGATTCTCTCCCAGGTCTTCCGCGACCACGCTTGTCTTTCTTTGCATTTCATTGTTGTTTTCTTCGCGAGCGCCTAGATGTAAAACAACAGTCTTTCTTTAGTATCGAGTTCTTAGGTTTTCGCGATTGTTACACATAGGAAATGAAACAATTTTTCCGGATTTAAATCGCGTATATTTGTTTTTTCAAACAAACCGACGTTTCGGGCCCTTTACAGGTCCCATGGTCACGGTTGACTCAACTCGGTTCAGTCAACCGTGACCAACGTCTTTCGTTAGGTTTCCATCGTGATTTCAACTCAGGATTATTTATGTTCCCAGATTATACACAAATTCTATTTGGATTCGTTAATCTATCAAAGTATGATGGACAACTAACAAACATTACAAATATATCTCCAAACATCAATATTATTAGAGAATTTAGTAAGATAAGATGCAAGGAAAACCAGAAATGGTTCGACAAGATGGCTAAGATTTTATTACCATGAATTATCAACTTACCATTTTCTTGAGGTTCATTGTGTTCCTCATTTGGAAGCCATTCGTTCTCTTCTTTCTCTTCCTGTACACTTGCTAGAGGAGTGGTGACTGTTTCAGATTGCTGTAGGTGAGGTTGACCTAGCACGTAAAAACATCTTTTTCATTTATTTTTGAAATGTGTGTAAAATTTTCATAAAGTACGGACAATGGCACATCAGACTACACATTTTTGTTCGAAAATCGCCTCCAGCGCAACGGAAAAAGATACGTGAAAGTGTAGCTAGATGTGCTGGCGTGTGTACATTACATTTATTTGTTCTTAGCTTTTATTCTGCTTTATATCATTTTTTATGTAAAATGTGAGGCAAACGAGCAGAAGAGTCGTTGGATTGAAGGTGGTCATCGCCGCTTATTGACATTTGCAACTCCATCGCTAAATTTACTCTTTAAATTGTACATACATATATATCGAGTTCTTAGGTTTTCGCGATTGTTACACATAGGAAATGAAACTATTTTTCCAGGTTTAAATCGCGTAAAAACTTAAAACTTGTTCGGAAACATTATTTCCTTGAATAGTATTGCGGTGAATAAGCGTTAAAACAGGTACATGGAGTAGAACAGGTGTAAAGAGACAATATACCTGGCATGACGGGTTTAGTCCGATGCCGTACATAGAGCGGTTGCGCGGCGGCATGGTATAGCGCAGCGGGGGTGCACATCGTGGTAGCGTCGCCCAGCGGAAACGCCGATGGTATTCGAGCTGAGAACGATACTTGAGCTTGTCGGATTGCTCCGGCTTGGAGTTCATCTAACCACTCGCAGACCCTGTTTGTAAACGTAATATGAATTTGCGATATTATATTTATAAGACGTCCCAAAGTAGAAAGTCACAGGGCCCATCAATACTAAAATAAACAAATAGTAATTTCGCGCGCCATTTCAGAACAGAAACTGGATTAAACAACAGTATTGAATGAGATCAATATTCAGGGTGGTCAATTTATAGTGATCCAAAAATTTTGTTTTTGTCAAGGACATGTCAAGGATTCATTTAAACGCAATGTATGTTCCGCGAAAACCAGTAGTTTAGAAGTTGACTTTTTTTCTCAAAATGCCTCTTTTTGTCTTGGAAACCACTAGATTGAAAATCGAATCACTAAATCGAATCAAATTTGGTGAGATTATTCCCAAATAGTTATTAATGTTAATGGTAAGAATAATTGTTTAAGGATGACTAATGATCAATATCAACCTGCAAAACAAGACAACAAAAAACAAAACTGAGAAAAAACATAACTATCAAACTACTGATTTTCGCGGAGGTCCGCGACAATCAGTAGTTAAATAGTTTGCGTTTATATGGATGTCCTTGACAAAAAAAAAATTGCGCCATTATAAATTTACCACCCTGTATATTTGTAATCTTATTAATTGCAACGTTTTTATTGCACTTTTTCGTTTTTAGCGCCTTTTTAAAGACATATTTAATTACTGACAATGTTTTTATACTAGTTGAGAGTACAAAGCTTTCTCATATTATGCATCATTCTAGTCTAACTAAAGTACCGGCACGCTGTGATGGCCGTTTTGATGCTTGGTCGCTCGTCAAGTTTCGTATCAATTCATAACTACGTTGAAGGAGCTAATTGATGTACATATACTCGACGATGTATACTGTTGTAAATAGTGACTTGCAGTAAAATTTACGGATGTATAATTTTACGACACAACTACACAGAAAAAAAGGATTTCTACTAATAAGAAAGAGCAATTTCTCAAAATATTTGCTAATTCTGAAAACATATTTATTTAAAGTAATAAAATATTGTCATTACAAAGATACTGCTTATCTTTTTCTAATACAATTTTACTCTTAACTTTATTCTAACTTTGAGACAAATACGTTCACTTCAAGATTTTATTTCATTTCTAATCAATTAATTGGACATTACTTACATCAAGAAATTTTTTCCTCTTACATCAAATCTAAATAATCTCAAATGAATCCCCAATTTCTTGGATGTATTTTAAGAAAATATTTTCTTAGGCAAAAAAAAAGTTATTTTGCTAATAAGAGTAATATTCTAAATTCGAGAATACATTTTTTATGGCAACATTTTGCTTTGTCATTTTCAATCATGTCGTGACATGTTGAAAACGCGCGCGCTCCGTCTCCGTGGCCGTGGTATCTGCGATTGAAGAAGCCATCCATAAATCAATAGCCAAATATTTAAAATGTGAAGCAAAGTGAACTATACTTACTTAGTTTTACTTGAAATCTTAAAAAGGTAAGGCAAGGAGAATAAAATCTTAAAAAGGAACTGATTTTTCTATTTGTTGTTTGTGGAAACAGTAATGGATTCGTTGAAAGAACTTTTGGAATCGTGGAATATACCAGAAGTTGTAGTGACCAATTTTATTGGTGAGTGATTTGATGTTATTATGAATTAATTGTGTAAGTATTACATTTTTATGCGCATGATGATATTTTGTACGTAACGTTGAATGTAAGCGTAAAATGGAGGGATCTTAGACGAACTTTTCCTAGAAATAGGTATACAGTATACTTAAACATGGGATTATTTAATTTATGAGTTTTTATGTAAATAATCTCTGTTTAGAATCCCGATTTAATGTCGTCATTGTTTATTAAAAATAATGTATCTACCTTTGAAATGCGTGACTTCGACAATTAGCATTTTACAATAGAAACTAACTTTTAACTGCCTCTGTGGCGGTTACCTTGCCGGACTGCCACGCAGAGGTCCCAGGTTCGATTCCTGGGCCGGGAGAAATATTTATACGGCCTACATTTATTTCTCTCGTGAGTTTGGGTGCAGTTTGTGGTTGTCTATGTGTGTGTTCATGGCACCCGCGACACAGGGTTTCCCTAGTGCGGGGTATATTCAGTGTATGTGTTATTAAACTAGAAGTAAAATACATAAAAAGATATTTGATTTAATTTGACTTTATTTACAAACTTGACTACTTTTGCAGAGAATGGTATAACGATTGAACATTTCCCCAAATTAAAACTAGACAATTTGAAAGAATTATGCCCACATATGGGGACTAGACTATCTTTAGAGGAAAAGATAGGGGAGCTTATTACTGCACAGGTGAGGGACCTGTATGTTTAAGTTAAAAAATTTAGTTGAAAGTGCTTTCATACTGACTATCTTAACATAGCTTGACTATAAAATACACAAAATAGTCTATTTTTTTAACTTTACAGGCAACGACAGATGCAGTATCTGAATCAACTGATGATCAAGTCATTATTACTCCCACCTCCAGTAAATTTGAGACAAGCACCAGTGATGCCGGTTTATTAGTTTCATTAGATGAACTACAAGTGGTCGACGTCTTGGAAACAACCAAAAGTGTATCTAGAAAAACATTTCCACATTTTGATTTGGAGACACTACTGCATACGTCAGCAGGTGGCAATAGTATTTTAAAATACTATGAAACATATGGTTTTCTCAATAATACCAAGAGAAACCAGTTGACCGATATAATTATAAAACATATATACACATACATTGTCAATTAGTAAGTATATACTGTATATATTAGTAAGTATATACTGTGTTCTGATTACTTTTACACTTCCAAATAATACATCACTAAAATTTTTTTAGCCGGATAACCTATGAAGAATATAATATTATATCTGCGAAAATAATATCACTGTTTCCAAAGGAGTCAATAGGCACTTATTTTACCAAACCTATAAAAAAAAATAATTCATTTAATGGACGTTCTACAGTAGCACGAGGAAAATTGGTGGACAAAGTCCGTAACCTTCTGTATAAATATGGAGACCACACACACAAGCGACAATCTGGCACTCTAGAAAATGCTCCACCGTTTAAAAGACAGTATATTCAAGGTTTGCAAGGTAATTTTTTTTTAAATGGGCTTGCAATTAAACCCACTGACTTTCACTGGGTTAAAGCAATTTATGAACCTATTTAGGTATTTGAGAGTAGGTATTCTAAGTCGCATCATTCTGGGTATTTAATACAGGTAAATGTAACTCTAAATCCTCTGTAAGTGGGCCCCATTTACAGTAGTCCAAAAATTTTTCTACATATAGGAGTAACAACCCATTTAAAATAAACATTAGTTTAGCAAAAATCAATAGCTTAAGTTATGATTTTTTTATGTACTTTCTTGAAAATTTTCTACTCTAGTCAAAAGTTTAAAACTAGTCTATTTTGAAAATTATTCCACTAAATTAATTGAAATTTGGTATTAAAGTAGTAGTAACCATGTAGCTAGCATGCAATGAACCATTTTTGTGTTTGTTCTTAGATTGCTCCGTTATTTTTTAGTCAATTCATGTTCATGAGTTTCTACAATTTTAACTCTCTAATGGTCATAATGTACACAAAAAGAAAATGTTTAAAAACATATGTATAGAGAACTTCTGATAAATAGATAGGTTTGAGAATAATTTCATGTAAATCTGAGCTGAACCAATGTTTTCTTTTGAGAAATTAAGTTAAAATTGTTTGAATAACGATTATGATACTGGTGGTGGTTTTAATGACTAGAGTAGAAAATATTGAAAAAGTATGGATGGTAACGTATCAAGTTACACATTGATGTATCTTGTTCCGTTGCACTGGAGGCGATTTTCAAATAAAAATGTGTGGTCTGATGTGCTATTGAATGTACATAAATAATCATGACTTCTAAACTATTGAATTTTGCTGAACTAATGTTTATTTTCAATAGGTTGTTTTGTTACTATGTCCTCTATCTAAAAAAAATCTATAATATTATTATTATTAGATAGGAACAGGTACTTACGTGGGAAAGGCATTTGTCAGCTGATTGAAATGCAGGTAAATAATGAAAGTCTTACAAAACATTTCAATAAGGATAAAATGAAACACTAACATGATTTTTTTTAGATTTACATTTAAGAGATATACTGTTTCTCAACAATAACACCGAACCATGGGGTGAAGTAATACAAAAATGGAAAGATACATTTAAAGTTCGAAAAGAAAGTGAACACAAGAGCGTTCATGAGTTTCTACAAGACTGGAAAATATTATCAGACCAAAGAAGTGACATATTGGTATGTAATCTGTTTTCATATGTTTTACGTTTTATTTCTGAGCTATCCATCTTGACGCAGACCAATCATTTTGACAACTATGATATTTGTTTTCAGATAAACATTGACTTCGACTTGTTGTATCCAGAAAAAGGGCTGAATTTTTATTTAAATTGGAAAATATTTTTCGAAAAAATTATTGCTTTTAAACCGAACAGAGACGAAAGGATCTTGAACCTTATTGAGTCACTGAAAAATTTAGATAATGATTGTAAGTGTCCGTTTTTAATTTTATAAAGCTTGAGATAGAATTAGTAAAATAAATAATAATAATAATAATAAGAAAATGTTTATTTCAGTAATGCAATTAACTTTACATTAACAGTGGATGGTATCTTCTATTAAGCTTGTCAAGCGTCAGTGTCAGGAGGTACCGCTCTTCCATAGCTATAAATTCACATTTAACATTTTTAACTTAGTCTGTCTGTCCGTCGGTCCGTCTGTCCGTCTGTCCGTCGGTCCGTCCGTCCGTCCGTCCGTCCGTCCGTCCGTCCGTCCGTCCGTCCGTAGCCCGCCCGAAGTCCGTCCGTCCGTCCTTCCGTCCGTCCGTCCGTCCGTCCTTCCGTCCGTCCGTCCGTCCGTCCGTCCGTGTGTCAGTGTGTGCGTGTGTGTCCGTGCGTGCGTGCGTGCGTTCGTCCGTCCGTCCGTCCGATCGATTGGATCGATTGGGCCGATCGATTGAATTGTCTGTTTGCAAATGTTGTATTTACTTGAGGTACTTTTACCACAATGTCTTTCCTTCTTCTCTTCGAAATATTTAGATCTAGTTTAGAGGCTTACGTTGTCTGATTACAGTTTGAGTGGTATAGAGTTTCGCTACAGTGGCTAAATTTGATAGATAAAATTGTATAATATTATTTTCAATTGTTACAGTAACACTTCCTGCTGAGCTTAAAATACTCGCACATCTGGTGCCTCCAAAGGGAAGAATTTCAAAAAAAATTAAGTTCACTACTCAGGAAGCAATTGACTCCTTATATATTTGTGTGCCGGTATGTTTTTTTTAATAGCCCCGCCCTAGGGAAACCCTGTGTCGCGGGTGCCATGGATATACACATAAACAATCACAAATTACACTCAAACTCACGAGAGAAATAAATTTAGGCCATACAAATATTTCTCCCAGCCCGGGAATCGAACCTGGGACCTCTGCGTTGACAGTTCGGCATGGTAACCTTTCGGCCACGGAGGAATTTATATATGTCGACTCATCCGAAGTCCGATATGATTATATAACGAAAAGAGAATAAGTACGTTACGAGAATAATTTCGTTATTCAAACTAAGGCCTGTGTAAAGGCGTTTTGACAATTTATATATCTTATTTCGTTTCGAAAATACAAAATCCAACAACAGTCGATCTGACATTTACAGCGAAGAAGAACAAACGAAATGTACTATGTCCTGAGAACAAGTAGTCTTGCACATATAGATCTTTGTTCTACGGATGAGTAGGTATATATATATATATAAAACTGTCTCCTGTATATAATATATATATATGTATTTTTTGTTTTCAATATTTATGCCTCGTATGCCTCATTTATAATATTACTTTGTGGTAAAGATTGGCTCACAAATCTGTTGTGGCTACTTATTATGTTTCATTATGTACTCTTAATACTATCTTAATTTCTAGAATGCTGGCGATATAGACCAAGTAATCAAAGAACAAAAACAAAAGGCGACAAGCAAGAAATTGTCTGTTCAACCCTATGTTATACTCCAGGGATCTTTGCTAGAGTGTGGTTCACCGTTACTAATAGTAGATGATGTAAGATATCAATTTTTAACCATAACAAAAGCTTTTGATACTCTTTTTTAAACTTTACCATACCTTCAACGTTAGATATCCCAGAGCAGGCGACCATTTATATTTGATCATACAAAGATGTGTATATAATATAGAAACTAAGTACGATAACGTCGTACCGTATATAATTGACGTTTTGAATATGTGATTTAGCTAAACACCACTTTCAAGGTTTCATAAACTCAATCAGAGCAGGGCCCACTCCCAATTGAGTTGTTCATGCTATTCTTTGAAAAAAAAAAAACAGTTTATACACAGACTTTCAATTAGAAAGAATTTTCTTACCACTTCTAACTCAGTTACGACAATTTATGCAACAATAATTGCTACAAGTGATATTTACAATATTGTTAACCTGATCAATCTCCGACTAAAACTCTCTGTGTTTCGCTTATTGTCAAAATGGATTTGAACTGTAATTACTGTCACAAAATACTTCATGATTTTAAGCAATACATTTTTCATTTAGAAACTATCCATAAAATAGGTAACTATTTTGTCTGCCCTTTTGAGAGTTGTAAAAGAACATATGATAAAAAAAATCGTTTTAAAAATCATTTAACAACGTGTTACAATTCAAATCGCAATAGGAATAGTACTTCTTGTGACAATAGTATTAATATCAGTAACTCCATCCTGTCCGAACAAAGTTCATTTCCAAGTACCAATGATACACACCAATCTTTTGACACATCACCGTCGAATGATAAAGACACTGGAAATGAATCTTTTATAAAATCTGTAAAATCATACTTAAATATATTTGTATGCAATTTATATGGGTTTGTTAGTTTACCAAGATCTTTAATACAAACTTTGATAGAATTAGTTCAAACCTTAATCCACAACATCACTTCAAATATACACGAAACAGTTAATAACGAACATATAGATGCCACTAAAAGAAACATTATTGTACTAGAAATGATATTAGCATTACCAGACATATTTAAAGACTACGATACAGAATATAAGCGCTTGAAAAATTTAGTTGACAATGAGTATTATGTAGCCCCTGTAGAAGTAAAGATCGGAACTGTCAAAGATCGACGTAGTGAAAATAATGATGTAACAATGATGCTAAAGGAAAGAAAACTTTACATGACACCACTTAGACAAACATTAAGCAATTTTTTAAACTTACCTGGAGTACTTTCTCACATTCTTAATTATCAACAGATGCTTTTGGACGAGAGTAATGTAAGTAACGGTGATGTGATTCGAAATGTGATTCAAGGATCGTTGTGGAAAGAACTTTCGGCTAATATAGACAAAGATAGTATCGTTATCCCTTTAATTTTGTATTTTGATGATTTTGAAAGTGGCAATGCCCTAGGAAGCCACGCTGGCGAATATAAGTTAGGTGCAGTTTATATTTCTATTGCAACTATTCCGCCAGAACAATCAAGTAGGTTAGAAAATATTTTTGTGACTCAAGTATTTTATTCAAAGGACAGAGTATTTTTTGGCAATGGGGCAATTTTTAACAAATTAATTGAAGAACTTAAGTTTTTAGAAGAAGTTGGCGTTGGTGTTTTATTGTCCAAAAATATCATTACAGTAAAATTTGTATTAATAACTTTATCTGGAGATAACTTAGGACTCCACGGCATATTAGGACTTTTCGAAAGCTTTATGGCTACATATTTCTGCAGGTTTTGTTTGACTACCAAAACTGAATCTGAAACCCAATCGTGTGAATTAAATAATCTACGAATGCCTTCTGAATACAATCAACATGTTGAAAATCGTATAGGAATTAAAGAAATATGTGTTTGGAATAATTTGAAATATTTTCATATTTACAATAATGTTACATGTGATGTGATGCATGATCTTACGGAAGGGGTACTAAGGTATGGAATGGCCCTTGTAATTAGAAGTCTAATAGATAAAGGATATTTCTCACTAGATCATCTGAATTCTAGGATAAAGTACTTTAAGTACAATACTAATGAGAAAAACACACCACCACCAATCAATAATCAACACTTATTAAACAAAAGTTTAACTATATCTGCTTCTGAAATGTTATGCCTTACAAGAAATTTTGCTTTTGTGGTTGGAGATTTAGTTGAAAATAACGACCCCGTTTGGAACTATTATTTAATATTA